ACAAGGTCCCAAGTTTGATCCCCGGTACCAAAAAAAAAAAAGAAAAAAAAAAAAAACACATAACAAAAAAACACAATTCATAAAACTGATAAAATTGGAATTTAATCAAAATTTAAAACTTCTGTTCTTCAAAGACACTGTTAGGAGAATGAAGAACACAAGCCACAGGTTAGAAGAAAATATCTGCAGAGCAAACATCTTAAAAAAGGACTTGTATCCAGAAAATGTTTTAAAAAAAAAAGGGCCAGGGATTTAGCTCAGTGGTTCCACCGCCTGCCTCGCAAGCGCAAGGACCTGAGTTCAATCCTGGGTACCAAAAAAAAAGAAACCCAATTTTTAAACACGGGCAAAACATATGAACAGTGACTTTAATAAAGAAGATATAGAACTGCAAAGAATCACAAGAAAAGATACAATGCAAAAAAAAAAACTGCACTGAGGTGTTACTACACACCTACTAGAATGGCTAAAATTAAAATGACTGACCATACCAAGTGTTGATGAGGATATCAAATCTAACACACTGGTAGTAGGAATGTAAAATGGTATAACTATTTTAGAAACAGTTCAGCAGTTTAAGAGGTTAAACACACACCTATCAAATGATCTACTGATTTCACTCTTACGAATTTACTCCAAACAAACCATATATTTATATAAAGATGTGCACGCAAATGTTCATGGCACGCTTATTTGTAATAGCCAAAACTGTAAACAATTCAAATGTCATCAGTGGGTGAATGCATAAACAAATCCAATGGAATAAAAAGAAATGAACTACTGATCCATCCACCATCATAGGTGAATCATAAAATAATTACACTGAATAAAAGAACCCAGGTCCTCATACATATTCTCTCTCTCTCTCTCTCTCTCTCTCTCTCTCTCTCTCTCTCATTTATATAAAACTCCAGAAAATGTACACAAACATAATGGACAGAAAAGCAGACCACTAGATATCTTGCAGAGAGAGGGACAGGAGGGTCGAATAACACAGCAGTCCTGGGAAGATTTTGGACATGATAGATAACATTCACTATACTGGATGGGGTGATGATTAAGGTGCTTATATTCTGTGAGACGTCAAATTATAATACATATTCTACTCTCTCTCTCTCTTTTGGTACTAGGGATTGAACTTAGAGCCCCACAACTTCCTGCATTGATATTTCCCTTTTGTGCTTATTATTTCATACTATCCGCAATTAAATGGGATATTTCTTTGGCAAATATCCTTTTGTTTTTAAGCCTCAAAATACAATAAATACTGACAGCTGAGAGAGAGTAGAGTTTAATGGTTAAGAGCACTGGGGGCAATGGAGTTAAGACCTACCAGTCCATATGAAACCCAGATCGGTCCCAAATTAGCTTGAGTTGCTTAACTTTGGCTCTGTTTCCTCACTGATGAAAGGAGAAAAATAATGGTACTGACCTCACAGACTTATTGGCAGAATTTAATTAATGTATGTAAAGTACTCAAATAGGGCTGAAGGTATGTGACTCAGTGGTAGAGCACTTACCTAGCATGTCCCTGGCCCTGGGTTCAATCCCTAGAGTTGCAAAAAAAAAAAAAAAAAAAAAAAGAGTAGAGATAATGCCTCCTCTAGTAAAGTAATAAATACAGCATAAAAGCTAGCTACCGACATCACTAGTCACAAAAGCAACTTTTATAACATGTCCTTAAATAGTCAATAAATAGTCAATAGTATTCCTTTAATAGCTGTTCAGAAATGGAGGCCCCAGAGCATTAGGTTCTTAGTTCAAAGAATAAACTATAATTAGGAGGGTCTATATATACCATCACTGTCCTACAGATCTTCCTGCAATTATGAAATGTTTGTATACTGTCCAATGTGGTAATGACTAGCCATATGTGGCTAGTGAGCACTTAAAATGTATTTATCTATTTTTAATTAATGTAAATAGCCACATGAGTCTAGTGACTACCATATCAGACAATAAAGCTTTAAAAGATAACCTAGAAAACTCCAAAATATATTTTAGAATAGTCAAGAGTTTTCACATTACTCACCACTTAAGTGGAACATGCCATCTTTAAACATGCAAATTAGTAAGATTTTACAAATTCCAGAAATGTTTAACAAAGAAAATAAATTTAAAATATCACATGGTTAATGCAAAGGCTACTTCTGCCACTATGTTGAACAAACTTAAAAGTATGAAATTTTAAGCTGGGCATGTTAGTACACACCTGTAATCCCAGCACTCAAAACTTCGAAGCATGAGGATCACCCTGAGTTCGAGGCCAGCCTGGGTTACATAAAGAGTTTAAGGCCAATCTGAACTACAAAGTGAGATCGTGCCTTAAAAAAAAAATTAAATTACAAATACAATAAACATATAATATTAAATGATAGCAATATCTTTAGTTCAAAGGACAATGGTAAATCTGAACACTTATAGGTAGATATTCTAGAATGTAAGAATTTTAGGATGAAGAGGAAACAGAAGGAAAAATTCTCTATGATCCCATATTCTTGAGCTGATGATAGCAAAAAATACACTTCTAATTCCCTCTTTTATTTTAAAAATAACAAACTCTCTTGCTTTCTACTATTGGAAAATGAAAGAGGGGAAAAAAAATATGCCAGATGCCTTATATATATGTTTAATCTCATGAAGCCTAACAGAACAGTACGATAAGCATTAACAACCTTGTTAGAGTAAGATTAGGAAAAGTAATTTGCCCAAGATTATATGGCTAATATATGCCCAAGAGAGAACGGAACTCACATCTACCTGGTTTTAAGACTATACCAGAAGAGCCTGTCAATACCAGCCTGCTATTGGAAACAAGGCAGCAAGAGCCTTAAGATAAATCTACCCTCTTCTGATCATTCTAAACACCAGGATCATCAATATCTATCAAGAGGAGGGTAATAAAGAAACAGATGGATAAGAAATCATCTGTGCCACTAACATTTTTTCCGGGAAAGCTCATGCTAAAATATTCCCATGTGTTCCCTAGAATATACTACCCATAAACAGAAAAATTAAATCAAGAATAAAAGGTATCTTTAAGGAAAAGTATAACGAAAAGGAAACAAGCAAGAAAAATAAACACGGAAAAAGATAAGAGGAAGCAATCTCAGGAAGATGGTAATTGTTACCAGAAACTACTTCAAGTGCTACTGTAAACCAGTGTCTCAAGCTATATACACGTGAACCATTAAATTAATATTCTAAAAAATATTAGGTAATTGAGAAATGCAGGCTCTCGACAAGCACAAAGAAATATCAAATTTATTTTGCTTTCAAAACATCAAATAGCAAAAATAGTCTGTTGCTACATTATGTAAAAGAAGTCATGTGATAATACATAGCATTTACTTGTCTGAATAAACTTCAGTAAGCTTTTGATCTTACTGAATCTACACTTAGAAATAAAATACAGATACACTTCAGGATTTGAATCCAACTTATTGAAACCCAGGAATTAAATAGATTATGCTAAATTTTTAAGATTCTACTGTTTGACAGAAACTATGTCTATCACAATCTGAACTCTTTCTTACCCTTGCCATGCAAAACTCAGGAAATGAACAGATGTGGGCAATCTGGTATCCCTCACTATCTACACTTTCACCATCCAATAGATTCAGACTGCAAGGAATACTTTCGAATCTTAAAGAGTTTTTAAAATATAATTTCACATGATTTAGGGTTTTTCAGCAACATGCAGATATTCCAGGTACAAAACAGATCTTAGAAAATATCTTTTTACACCATATTTTCTCAGCCCTCTGCTGGAACAGCTGTGGCAGTTAAGTTACTGCCCCTTAGCTTCAAAGTGCAACATTCCCCACTATTATCCTGCTTTGTGATGCTAGAGCTAGAATCCTCTCTACAAACCTTGCTTGCACTTTTCAGTGGGGTTCCTTAAAGCTCTACCAAGCAAGACAAAGCACTGAAAACTGACTGCAAATCTGGAGGAAGATGACACTTGTACCTTTCTGCCTACTCTCTGGGATTCATAAAAGTGTTTCCTTAACAAAGGCTTCTTCATCTCTTTATAACAGGCCCTTCCCATAGCAGCAAGCCAATCAGTTTGCAGTGTTTCAATACTTACTGAACTAGTTTCATAATACACCATGGGCACCAGTCAGCATCCCCTCCTCAAGAGGTCTAGATCTCAATCTCACAGGTCCCATTTTCCAAGCTTAGACACCAGCATCAGTCCTGTAGCAGTTTCTCCCCACAGGTCTAAATCTCAATTCAACAGGATCTTTCTAAGTTTTTCACTTGTCCTTGAATTTTATGGATAGTACCTGGTGTCCTATTGTATCTTATCTTCACAACTTGAGTTTTATTTTTATCTTTTCTATTACCTACTTAACCTTCTATCTAGTTAACCATTCTCTCTATTAAACCATGTCTGTTCAAATTACTAGTATGATTTCCGCCTATGCAAAGAACCCTAACGAAACAAAATTGTCTCATATAGAATATGGTTATTGTGACTTTCATTAAAATGTAATTTTAGCCTGCCATGGTGGTATACGCCTATAATCCCAGCACCTGGGAGGATGAGGCAGGAGGATTGCTTAGTTCAAGGCCAGCCTAAGCTATATTTTGTGTTCAAGGCCAGTTTCAACTACACGGCGAGACCTTGTCCCAACAAAAACAGTGTAAAATTGGGCAGAGGATTTAGCTCAGTGGTGCTGCCACCTGCCTCACAAGCGCATGGTCCTGAGTTCGATCCCTGGTACCCAAAAAAAGTGTAAAATTATGTTATTTCATGCATATAACTATCACCTTACTATGTTCACTTAGTTTACTAAATTTACTAATGGAGCAGATCCAAATCTTATTACCACAAAAATCTCTGGTGGCAAGTCTCTCTCTACTACACTAAGTTGCACTACTTGACAAAACATGATGCAGTATTTTATTATGAACTCCATCTTGAAATTTAATGTAAAATGAGTTTATGTTTTAAGTGTTAGATATTCCAACAAAGAAAAACAATTAGCACTCACCTTAATGAAGTTACAGATGGACAAGCCTGTCCATACAAACCCATCTGGCCACAAAGAGAATCTAAAAAGTAAACAAGAGTTAGTTATCAGATGCTCCAAAATAAATTAAACTAAAAGTCACGCTACAATTTTAATTAAAACTCTGTGAAAAAATAGAAGGCTACAAGAATAACCATTATCAGAATGTAAACTCACATGAATGAAAAATGCTACTGAGTAATAAGAGGGATTATAGTGAAGTAACTCATATCAGGAAGAGTAAAAAAGAGAAGCAAGCATACCATAACTATGATATCCAAAGGAGCTCAGATTTCATAAAACTTGGCAAATGGTTATCCCTTATACAGTGTCCAAACTATTTAAAAGAATCTCAGGAGTTCCAAAAGAATACCTAAACTATCATTGAGCTGGGCATGCAGGTCCCTGCTCCCACATTAACTGCTCCCCCCATTTATACATCTCTTCAATGAAAGCAGTACTACCTTTATTAGTTTTATTTATTAAATTTCACTAAGACATCTGAAGAAACAGTACCATTGCTTAAAAAAAAGTTAAGATTAACATCAGAACACAAGGAGCTCTGAATAAGTTCTAGGTTCAAATTCTAACTTGTAACACTGCTGAGACCTTGAAGAATTTATATAACTTTACTGAACCTCAGTTTCTTCATCTGAAATTTGGCAATATAACACCTGTATAACACTTTTTAACTTTATCATTGTAGGTCAGCTGTTAGAATTAAATAATAAAATGAACAAATGTGAAAATGTCTATTTAGCGCTACTCTCCCTAGGATATGGTAGTGTGGAATATTTTCACTAGGCACAAGGATGACTCACAAATGCTAAAGGCAACTGTTATGATTTATTTGTATCTAGATGTCCCCCCAAATGCCTATGCACTCATAGGTGGGAAGTTTCGATGGTGGCTGGATTAGGGGGTCTGAATGTAGATTAAGGGTGTGATACTGGGATTGCCAGGGTGGATAATGGAAGCTCGCTCTGCCATGGGTATGGGCGGCACCAATCAACAAGCTTGTTGCCTAGATGGAATAAACAGTAAGGGACAGAAAGAAGGCTAGCTTGCTGCTGCTGCTTCACCATCTCTTGCCTGTTTGCCACAGACTATTTCTTCTTTGTGATGTCCTCTGCCATGCCACCCTGCCTTGGAGCCAGCTGACTATGACCTGAAACCTACAAACTATAAGCTGTACAAACCTTTCCTCCTTTAACTTGAAGGTGCCAGGTATTCTGTCTCAGCAATGAGAAAAGTGACTAAGACAGTAATATAACTGAGATAAGTTAGAATAGGTACGGGTGTATACATGTGAATACATTGCACAAGTGATAAAGAGACTCTGAGCATGTTCAGTCTGAAAGGAAGGGGTCAGCTGCTACTGGCAGCTCTAGCCAAAGGTTACTAAAGAAAGAGTATTTTAGGTCCATTATTGTTTTGTTGCTGGTATTTTGGGGGGGGGGCCCTGCTGGGGACTGAACTTGGTCTTTGCACTAGGCTACCTCCCCAGCCCTTTCTGATTTTTTTATTTTGAGAAAGGGTCTCACTCAGTTATTAAGTTTCCCTGGCTGGGTTCAAACCTGTGATCATCCTCTCTCAGCTACACAGAGTGCTGGGATTATAGGCATGTGCCACCACACCCAGCTCAGACCAGTAAGAACTTCCAGGTTTTTTTTGTTTTGTTTTTGAGATAGTCTATGTCGATCAGGCTGGCCTTGAACTCACTATGTAGCCCAGGCTGGCCTCAAACTTGTGGTGGTCCTCCTGCCTCAGGCTCCCAGAGTGCTGGGATCACAGGTTTGCACCACCGAGCCCAGAAGAACTTCCAGTTTTTCAAAAGAAGAAATCCAAAATCTTATTTCAATTCTAATTTTTATTTTCTAAATATTATCTGAGCCAAAGAACACATTGGATTTTTTTCTAAGTTTATAACTGTTGATTCAGAGGCTTACTGAATTACCAACAACTAATTGCCCCATATGCTAGACAGACACAATTTTATTTCTGCCAGGATGACAAGACAGATGGCTTGACCACCATATTCAGTTAAAATAACTAGACTGCTAAATAAAATTTTATAAACAAATCAAAAAAATAACAAAAAATTAAGGTATGATCAGAAGTCAAAAATTAAGAATAAGAAGGGATTTAGGGAGGTACTAAAACCAGCTTTCCTTCACCATTAGGGCATCTGTCAAACCACATGAATTCCAACTTGTAATTAATTCTAAGACATCTTGAGGTCCAGGAAAAGAGGCAAAGTTCAGATCTTACCCAAAAGAATTACAAGGAAGACTGCTTTGGGAGGGGAGAGGATGTGGAGACAAGATTTGTTATATAGGTCAGGGTGGCCTCAAATTTGAGATGCTCCTGCCTCAGCCTCCCAACTGCTGGAATTACAGGTTGGGATTACAGACGTCCACTACCACACCAGGCTCAAAATTGCTTTTTTAACCTTGGTACCAGATGCAGACAAGGAGATAAGGGTATGACAGTAGTGCAGTGCTGTCTCCTCTGATAGTCCACAACCACATGTTGATCCTCCCTAGGATTATGGTTTTAAACACTCCATACCTAAAAGTTTTTTGTAGTGACTGTAGACATGTAGACATGGTAGTGTCCCCCATTCAACCCTGAGGATGCAAATGCAAATTCTCTCTAGGGGAATTCATCTTTGATTTAGGCCTTTGAAAAGTTCCCACCACAAGGAGGGTTATAAAATTAATGATGTGAATAAATTAATTCACAATCAAAACTCACAAAACCCAGAAACAAGACACTCATAGCAATATACAGCAGAAACATCAGTTAGTGTAATTAAAACCAAAAAGATACTGTTTTCTATTGTTTTTATTTTATGAGTGCTTTACTGAGTCCTATATTTTAATCACCTGCATACAAATGAATCCCTTATCTTTGTCTCTAGCAGGGATGAATCTCCTAATATCTAAACATAAATATCTAATATTGGGATGCGCAATGCCTCTGGGTGAAGGCACGGGTCCTCTGGGTGAAAGGCGGGCGTGCGCCCTCGTTTCCCTCTGGTCAGCCCCTGCCGCCCTCACCCCACGCCCGGTGTGCGGCCCCTCGCCCATCCTGCGGACTTTGCGGACTTTACGTGCGGTACCGCGCGTCAAAGGCCCAGCCCCGTAGTCTCCACGGGTAGCGGACTTTTGGCCCGCGAAGATGGATAGCAGTGTCGCAGCTTTTGACGACGCAGTGCAAGAACGTGTGATCAACGAGGAGTACAAAATATGTTTAAAAAAATAAGCCTTTTCTTTATGATTTGGTGATGACCCATGCTCTAGAGTGGCCCAGCCTAACTGCACAGTGGCTTCCAGATGTAACCAGACCAGAAGGGAAAGATTTCAGCATTCATTGACTTGTCCTGGGCACACACACATCGGATAAACAAAACCACCTTGTGATAGCCAGCGTACAGCTCCCTAACGATGATGCCCAGTTTGATGCATCACATTATGACAGTGAGAAAGGAGAATTTGGAGGTTTTGGCTCCGTTAGTGGGAAAATTGAAATAGAAATCAAGATCAACCATGAAGGAGAAGTAAACAGGGCCCGTTATATGCCCCAGAACCCTTGCATCATTGCAACAAAGACTCCATCCAGTGATGTTCTTGTTTTTGACTATACAAAGCATCCTTCTAAACCAGACCCCTCTGGAGAGTGCAACCCAGACTTGCGTCTCTGTGGACATCAGAAGGAAGGCTATGGGCTTTCTTGGTACCCAAATCTCAGTGGGCACTTACTTAGTACTTCAGATGACCATACCATCTGCCTATGGGACATCACTGCTGTTCCAAAGGAAGGAAAAGTGGTGGAGGCGAAGACCAACTTTACAGGCCATACAGCAGTAGTAGAAGATGTTTCCTGGCATCTGCTCCATGAGTCTCTGTTTGGGTCAGTTGCTGATGACCAGAAACTTATGATTTGGGATACTCAGTCAAACAACACTTTCAAACCAAGCCACTCAGTTGATGCTCACACTGCTGAAGTGAACTGCCTTTCAATCCTTCTAGTGAATTCATTCTTGCCACAGGATCAGCTGACAAGACTGTTGCTTTGTGGGATCTAAGAAACCTGAAACTTAAATTGCATTCCTTTGAATCACATAAGGATGAAATATTCCAGGTTCAGTGGTCACCTCACAATGAGACTATTCTGGCTTCCAGTGGTACTGATTGCAGACTGAATGCCTGGGATTTAAGTAAAATTGGAGAAGAGCAATCTCCAGAAGATGCAGAAGATTGCCCACCTGAGTTGTTGTTTATTCATGGTGGTCACACTGCCAAGATATCTGATTTTTCCTGGAATCCCAATGAACCTTGGGTGATTTATTCTGTATCAGAAGACAATATCATGCAAGTGTGGCAGATGGCATAGAACATTTATAATGATGAAGACCCTGAAGGAAGTGTGGATCCAGAAAGACAAGGATCCTAGATATATCTGCACTCGTGATTTTAGACTCCCCTTTTTTCCTCTCAACCCTGAGACTGATTTAACACTGGTTTTGAGACATACAGACTTTGTTCAGCTATCCCTCCACAACAGGTACCACCAATAATACTAGTGGCCCAAAAAGTGGGTGTTTTCTAAATATTAACTGGGGTACCTGATTCAGCAAAGCCACAGACTTACATTTAAATTTTCTTCAGGAATTTTCTATTAACAAACCCAGGTCTAAAGTAGCTACAGAAAGGGGAATATATTGTGTGATTATTTTTCTTCTTAAGATAAATCCCCAAGTTTTTCAGACTTGTTTTAGTAAAGGCTAAAGTGAGTAAGGAATAGAGCCAAGTGAGGTTAGGTGTCTGAGCCATGAAGTATAAGTACTACAAGATGTCATTTTTATTCAGGAATTAGGGGAGAATCAAGTCATAGATTCCTACTCTAAATCTTCATACCTGACTTTCCAGGATGCACATTTTTCCTATGTAGACCAGTCTCCTCTTGGTTTATTCACTTAAGTCAAAGCTACATGTTCCCCCTTCCCTATATATTTTTGCTTGTTAGTGTATTTCTTGA